GTTACACAGTGCTTACAACTGTCTCTGAATGTGAAATAACAGAAAATAAATTAAGTCATACGAGGTTGTCATCCGTACGCAGGGAAGTAAGCACAAGATGCCAAATACCATTAGCAGGATGCAGCGCACCCTTCATGCGACTTGCTGAATATCTCACGGCGCTTCGCGCTTTGGTGATGTGAGAGCCTGGTCCGGTGAGAACCCGGCGTGCTCCGTCCCGGCTTTGTAGGGATGCGAGGTCAATGGTCTAAACGACTACGGCATGCACGACTATGAGTACACCCCCTCCCTCCGGGATTAGGGTTAGGGTTAGGGTCAATAATTAAGTCAAACGTAGCTGTCATCCGTGCGAAAGGAAGTATGCACAAGATGCCGAACACCGTTAGCTGGATGGAGCGCACCCTTCATGCGAATCGCTGAATACCTCACGGGCGCTTCGCGCTTGGTGATGTGAGAGCCTGGTCCGGTGAGAACCCGGCGTGCTCCGTCCCGGCTTTGTAGGGATGCGAGGTCAATGGTCTAACGACTACGGCATGCACGACTTTGAGTACCCCCCCCCCCCCGCCCCCGCCCCCCGCCCCCCCCGGGGTTAGGTGTCGAGAAAAAAATTCTTGCGCGCCCATAGACAGAGACAGAGACAGAGAAACAGTGAGAGACAGAGCGAGAGAGAGAGAGAGACGGGATGACCCTGATTTTCTGTCTCCGCCGTGGAGACACATCTACAATAAGCAAGTAGAAGACACATCCACGCGACTTACGGGCTCTGCGCCTGCTTCCGACGACGGACGATGTTCAAGATGATGGCCGCGCCTGCTACGACCGCCACGAATATTCCGCCCGAAATGAGCAGCCCCGCTAAAACGCCGGAATCGTCGCCTGGAGATACATAGCATTCAGGGTTAAGAGGCAAAAACAAAATTATGGCTGCGGTGGGGCGACTGCTGCAGACGATCGGAAACAAGCAAATAGAAGAAACACGGCCAGTGCTGTGTGATGTGCCCCAAGTAAAACGCACGGGCGACTGGGTCCGATGTTTCGGTACGCATTCGTGCGGAGCACATGACAGCAACTCACTTGGCCTGCAAACACAAACCGACGTGAACGGGCTTTTCTAGCTGACGCAAAAATCTTCCGCAGGTCGGGATATTGAGCTCCTGAACGGGCAGGAACAACGAAGGAAATCGAGCAAAGCATGGCGGTTATGCCTTCTTGAGCGGGCGTGGCTGAGGTACCTGTCCTAGGTTCCTAACGACACATGCGTATGGCTACGCCGAGCGCATGGGGTGGGGAAACATGAAAACATAATAGCACAAGCGACCATGGAGGAGTGCAATCTGCGACCACGCGCACGTTTCGCTTGGGAGTTCCATGCCGTAGCTGCCGCGCAAAAAAAAAAACGGAAAGATGTATTTCAAGAGTGTATTGGGTAACGGCCTGACTATCCGCGTCTGCCTACAACTCGGCAGGGTCTCAACAACGCTACTTAATCGGTTTGTACTCAAGGCGGGGTCATCTGATCTCGCCCTGGCGGGGGCCTCGGACACCACCCTCTAATTCCGAACGTTGATTCTTGCGGTGTAGCCGGCCGGCCAATGCGGAAGAGAAACCATGGCGGCAAACACGGGAGGCGAAACGTACGAAGGCCGCTTCGTGGTCATCCCAAAATAACGGTCAAGGTTAGATTGCATTGAAGAGAACTAAGCTTTCTCTCCCGACACCTTGTGAATTGCACGAATACCTCTTCATTGTCCACAAAATGTGAACACCCTCTTTCTCGCTCTCTGTCTCTCTTCTCCCTCTCTCTATAATATAACAGCGCAAACCGGCAGCCTTTCTACGTGTACTGCTGCACCCATGGAACCATTGGTCCAACGTACGCATCTGCTAGCACTTTGCTTCCGCATGTTGGCCGAACGCTGAGTCAGTCTCTTTCTCACCTTCCACGTTATCTTGACCCAAAACGCTTCCTTCGCTTGACGTGAGGCTTCCTCGACTGGATGATGACGCTCCAACCGTTGACGCGAGCCATCCGAGAGGGTCATCGACACCGGGGCTGGATGAAGACCCTCCTGCGGGTTTTCACGAAAAAAAACAAAAATCGTCCGGGAAAAATAACACAGAAAAGGATAGGGGTATTATCTCGAACCGGTGGTCTGATTGTGTGGGTATTCTTGTCAACAAACACATTGCGTTGAAGGCACAAAAAACAACGGTTTGGGGCTTTACAGCCCGGCTGCTGGAGGCTTAACAAGGGTCTATCCCACACGAACTAAAAAGTAATAAATACGACGCAACAAGGATGCGTTTCGTGCTTGCGTAACTTCCGTGTCGGAGCTCATTGAGATGTTTCTCCGCTCGAGGAAAAGTAACGACTGTATCACAGAAAAAATTGAACAAAACCACGAAACCTTCAAGCACCGCAAAATAACCAACGCCCCCTAGCACGCGAAAAACAGTACCCGTTCTCAAAGCCGCGTCGACAAGCCAGCAAACTATCAACAGTCAAACATGTATCTTTCCCGCGCCGAAGAGGCTATTCAATGCCGTACGGGACGCGGCAGCAGCCGCTGTGAATGCACAGCATACAGGCGGCGACGACGTGATGCACTACAGGTAGCGCCCGCACTGGAGAACTTGACCGTTGATGAAAAATGGACACAGCCTCGAAACACTAAAAAATCTGACAATTATTGTGAGCTCAGTCAAGAAATCCTACACTAAAACCCATACAGTGGCCACTTCGTAGCGTAACCCTGCTAGGAACTAGAGAAAAGCGAGCCAAATTCTCACATGCTGGCATTAACCGAACATGCAAGGACGAACCCTGGCGGCGCGGGTGGGGCATACTCACGATCGAACACGTCTTCCACCTCTACCGTGGCCCCCGGAGAGACCGTCGGGAAGCCCACAATCTCGACCGCAGGCGAGTTGGTCATGTCGCTCGACGCCGGGCTTGGTCCGCCGTTGCCCTCTGGATCCAAACACACTTCAAAAGAGACGGGGGGGCAATGGACAGAACCGAGTGGCGGGGGCTGGGGGTATACGCCGCAACGAGGCATGCATCTGTCTCTGGTGAGGAGTACGTGGGCTTGAAATCAAGGACAAAATCTACTATTAGAGTAAGTGCCTTGTCTTGGTAGGCGACCACGGATTCTCTGCACCGCTCATCACCACTCACCGCTCATCATCATGCAGAGGGAACAACAAGACCTGAGCGTTTTGACCTATGCACCGAAAAAGGGACGCTCCGTACGAAACCAACCGAATAACGACGAACCAGCACTTTCTCCCCGTCGCAAATGGTTGGACGTAACTATTGGGCAACAAGACCATGTGCGTGCGTGTTGCGTGTGTGTGTGTTCGTCCCATCTATTCTGGCGCCGGATTACAGGCCTTTCGGCGAACATGCTTGACGTATCAGCCGGGGTCACCCAAGAGGAGGGTCACACTGGAGCATTTTTTCATTTCTTTGTTTTATGGCTCCCAACTTATCCCCCTGCGGTGCTTGCCTTGGTGTTGACGCACGACAAACCTGTACAAAATATTTGAGTCTCGATGCTGGTGGAAACACAACCAGTAACAACACACCTACATTCCCATACATTACATAGCGGGTCAGCAAAAACGAGTCCCTCTCAAAAAAAAAAAAAACGAATACCATCTTATCACGAAGCGCCCGAATCAAACATCAACAACAAAAAATAAATCGCACAGCAGCGAGAAAACACAGACACGCCTCCCCTAGATCGACGGCAAGGGGCCTTGATGATTGGTCGGTGGCTCACGGTTTGGGGGGCTAGGCACCATCGCCTAGCTGCCTACCCCAACCCTGAACCCTGTCAATTTTCACGAATGTATCTGCCCTTTTCTTATCGCAAGTCAGTGCCCTGTACCACCCCATCCCGAGGTTTGCCTTCTGATGTACCAATTTTTTTCTTTTCGACGTTTTCCCTTTGCCATGAATGTATCTCCGCTCTATCCGCTTGTCTGCCTCGTTGAATGAAATGCAGTAGTGTTCTGCGGGAGGGGAAGGAAGCGTCGCCGCCGGCAAGAGTGCTCGCGCTGGCTGCCTCGCATCCTCGGCACGCCACGGCTATACATGTCGCGCGAAGAGATGCAGGCACTGCGGCGCAGCTGTAAGGCACTGCAGCGAGTTCCGGGCACTACGCTGGCGGGTTGTTTAACCTTTACGCCAGCCGGAGGCAATATGGTAAGCCGGAGGCTATAGCGCACACCGTGAAACAAAAACCGTCCACGGTTTCCGTTCGTGCTCTCATTTTTTCTAGCTCACCCACGGCGAAGGAAGCATCCATCGTCTCCGCCGAGTCTCCTCTGGATGGGATCCTGTACCACACCCCGCTGGAGATGTCAACCGGGTGGTACGCGCAGTCGAAGACCTAAAAAGACAAAAGGAAAAAAAAGAAAAACCAGAGCGAAAAAGGTAAACGGAAATCAGGTGAAAACTATGAACAGAACGAAAAGGGTACACTGAAAACTGTTGAAACACATGTACTGCGCACGTCACAAAAATAATTGTGGGACAACCGAAGGGTGGTGATATTATCGGGACTACGAACAATTCTGTTCACGGTCCTGGCATGTAGCATCCCAATATTCTGGCGGCGACCAATCGCGAAGAGCTTCAACAAAGCAGTCTCAACATCCGAAAACCGCCATCGGTACACCCTTTGCTTTGCGCTTGGAAAACCGCCAATAGTTCGGCCCACACGACGCGCCACAAACCTGATAATGAAGCAAATTGTCACCCCCTTTCCGCTCACCATGTAGGCGGGGTAACCTCCATCGCTTTCCCGCAAAATCCAGCCGCCGCTATCGCACGCAGCGAGAGCGCGACCTTCTTCCCGTGCGACCACGCTTCCTCTGTGCCCTCGCCCCGATAGGGCAAGAGTGTCGCCGTCGTTGACGACGCCGTCACCCCTTGGTTGTGCGTAGTTCGTTAGGTGGCGCTGCCTGCTGAAGTCCGGTTCTGATATCGGAACGGGAAAGAAGAACAGCAAATGTACAGCAACAAAGAGAGCGGGGCGGGAACGAGAAACAGACGGACAGCACGGAGAAATACAGGCATTGACAGAGGGACACATGAATAAAGAGAAAGGGGACAGATACAGAGATACAGCGAGAGGGGGTCACGTTACCCTTAAGATGGGACGATGCGGGCCGGCAACGCTTCCCACCGCATATACCCTCTTCTGGCAAAAACCGGGGAGAAAGGTAAGAAACACCGGCATTTGGCGAGGTGTCACATTCCCGGGACAAGGGTTCCTTCCGGTCACAAGGACCAAAACCCGTCAAACATTCTCTGCTTCTTTTGTTTTGTCATATCTGTGTTGGACGACAGTCACACCTTTGGGGATACGTTTGATCCACCGCCCGCGGGGTTACACAGGAACTACATATTCTCCCGTCTTTGCTCCTCTGGTGCTGACCTTCCATTTTCGACGCGAGAGAGCCTTGGTTACCTTATCAGCACACGCCCCTTCCCTTGCTGTTGCGTGTACTCGCGAACACGCTAAATCTTCGCTCCAAAAACACTTGCAAGGCAACACCGTAGGTCGAAAAAAAATTAGCCCACATCCCGGGCCGATTCTCAAAGCTCGATTACCGGGCCGATTCTCAAAGCTCGATTACTCCGCGGTCAAATGATCCACGTTCGGAAAGCTCTCCACGAAGTGCCCACAAGCTTCGGCACCCTCGCCGCCGCTATCGCTGCACAGTAGTCGAGGTTCGAACACCTGCCCAGGCGATGTGGTATCTTCTATTTCATCTGCGGAGTTTCGGAAATCGGCTCCGGGGTATGTGGAATCCTGCGTCACACCTACGGTACCACAAAGCACCGACCTCCTTCAACGGCGATCGATACGCCGCCCGTCCAGTACATGACGCTCTCGCTGGTGGCGGTGTCGTTAGTACTGAAGAACACCGGCCTGTTCTCCAACGTCATGCCCACGTCGTAATACATCCCGCTGCGTCATCAACGGGAAAAAAAAAAAGACAGAGCAACGGCGTGTTGCGCAAAGCGGCCAAAATGAACGTTCCTTTCATGCTGGGAACTGAACAAGCAGCGACAGCACGCGGTCGTGGATCGATGTGGTGGGTACAGTAGCGCTGCTGCGGGGTACTGTGTTGCTACATGTACAGCCTGAATATACATGAACGCTTGCACCAAGATCCGACGGAACCCTCCCATGCAACGACGTCCGCCAAACAAGATTGCTAACCGTTGTCCCTCAGGGAGGGGGTGTATTTTCTACTTCAGCATCGCGTGTAATGCTAATGAACACCAGCTGTAGTTCACATGACGTAAGATATCACACCCCCTGGACCACTATTCAATGCTCGACTACTCCGCAACGGTGTGGCGGTGCCTAGCATGGCGGTGTTGGAAACGCCTCGGCGAGAGCCTTCCCGAAAACGCACCTAACAACTGGTGCTACGTACGCATTTTCGTCGCGTAACAATCGAGCATGAAAATCGGTCCGGGGGTGTGAAATGATGTGTCACCACCGGTACATAGATGAGACAGATACCTGAGATCCACGGGCATCGACCTCGACTCATCACCCGCGCTGGAGATGACGACAGTAGTACACTCCGTCGCCACTGTGGGACGACAGGTAGAGAGTTTCGTCGGGTGAACAACAACAGCAAGCACAGCGGAGGGAGAGAAAGGTGAACAGGGTGATGGAGTTTGGCGGCGATTGCTTCAGGTGACTGTCGTAGATTTGTACTCGATCGGGTGGGCATAGTGGTTTGTACGTGGGCCACTGTCAAGCTTAAGGAAAGAACAAAAACATGTTGTATGCATCGCTGGTGGGAACATGGAAGGAGTTTCGACCGGGCGAGAGAGAAGGCGAAATTCGAGAAATCCCCTCCCCAACTGCGGTACTTGCTGCGCTGTTGCTGAATATTACACATAAAGCATCCCGGGGTTAGTGACATCAGCTACCGCTGCCAACCCGCAGTTCAGGAGAGTGGGATGAGTGGCGGCGAGCATAAGCAGTACTTCAAGTACAAGACGGCATCGATCTACTTTGCGGAGATTTGCGAAGATTGTACACGTCATTACGATCCTCATTATGCATCACGACCACAGAAGCAGATTGTAGGGCACGAACATACCCCGCTGCTGTAAATAATAGGCTTGTCCTCTACTGTAGTGTTATCGTATATTAAGCTGCCGCTAGATCAACTGACCTTGTTCGAGCGCCTGTCGTTGTGGCCCTTTCGACTTGCACCTACACTGTGAATTCCTATCTTGACTTCTTATCTTGATTTTCAAACGACGCGCGTGGAGGTAGACTTATTCATGATTGTGGTACGTTTTGAGCAGCCTCTCCTGCCTCCTATTAGCCTATAGTTAGTGCGAGAATCAAACGACTCGATTTGTCCCGATGCCTTCCGACTGTTGCGTCTCTCGTGTGCATTCCTTGGTGCTCTTGCGGTTTCTCGAAAAAGCAGTCGACATCAAACTAGGGTGGGTTCCCCCCTAAGAAAATATGCCTCGTCTGTTGTGTATCCAGCAGGTTAAAGGGGTGCGGGACGTACGTGGCACTTTTTCGTGTGTGCATGGCAGTGTGTCCAGGATTGCCAGTCTCACCACAACACCTTAATCAGGGACTCCTTCAATTATCAGTCACACCTCCTCGTGCGATGAATCCGACGCCATCGAAATAAATCACTGTAGATCACAGCAGCACATCGTAAAAGGAAGTAGGAACCTCCGATCGGTGCCGTGTCTGCGACGGCCGCCATGGCGGTCAGACAGGGCATGTCATGAATCTCCTTACACACACAAAACGAGCAAACGAGCGAACAAGCAAACCTCTTTCGTTCTTATCTTTATCACCGGAGAACGGGATCACGCTACGCGACCAGGCTTTACCTGGCTTCCAAGAATCAATTCTTCCGCGCCATCCGTTCAACAGCCTACACTAGCGGCTATGCATAGGCACTGCACTGGCGACACAAGAACATAGTGCTGGGTCCATAAGCTCCAACCATTGCTACCAGCGCGACAGCCGAAAGTAGAATACTTTCCTAAGCAGATACGTTGTTGTTGTTGTTGTTGTTGACTTCACATTAAACCGTATGCCAGTTGCTAAATGCCAAAATCTAGCAAAGACTCTCGGCCCGTGGTCACGAAAGTGCTGGAGCCATCTGAGGATCTAAAGAACACGCACACGTAGCAAGAAAAAGGTGTACAAGAGCCCGAAGAGGTACTACTACACCTATATATAATCCCTGCAGCACCGTACGCGTGCCCAAAACTGAACTACACGTCCGTCTCACCGTTCGACTACAGCAACATCACCCCCTACTTGTCCCACTCTGTACCAAAACGAATGATTGCCGACTACAGCATACTTGCTGTCTGAAGTGCTGTCGGTACAAAAACACCATAGTAGGCATGGAACAAGAAGCTGGCGGGGCACAAAGCTGCTGTCTGAAGTGCTGTCAGAATGTGTCTGCGGACGTACAGTGAAAAAGAACAACCAACCAAAGCCATGATTGCAATGGACAATCACCCGAACCTCTCCCGATCGTCTGTGTTAGGCACGCAGTGAAAATATCGACAATAGCTAAGAATCGTTCCACATTGAAGGGGTCTTCCACGATCAGGCACAAAACCAATGCACCCGGGTTAGCCACGCCATCTCTGACGGGTCTCTCTACAAAACCAGTGACGACGTCATCACATAGAACCAACACCGAAAATCAGGAAAAAAACGAGAAAAATTGACAACACAGATCAGATTTTCATGTTTGTCCGTGCGCCACGGGTCGATGTCGCCCGCATGCTCCGGTGCCGCTGCTCCGTCCGGCGCCGCTGTAGTCAGCCCGAGCATAACGCCACTCGACCTGCTCCGTCCGTACACGCTCTCGTTGCTGTCCTTCCCAGTCGGTTCCTCGCTTTCTCCCTCGTTGCACTCAAGGTTCTTGGTCTGAAAACTAAAAATTCTCGCGCCGAAGCGGCCAACCAGCCCAGTTCAGCTCGTCGCCACCTGCTCCCTCTTCCTTTGATGGCGAAGCCAGGTTACTGAGGCAATGCAGCGCCCTCTAGCCAACCTAGGGCCGTGTACATAGTTCCCGTCCACCTTCTGACGGTGTCTGCCTCCGCGCACAAAAAATGAGATGGGCATCGCTGCCTACGCCGACGGCCAGAGGCCCGCGCATCTACATTTTTTCGCCTGACCCCATCAGTGCCGACCCAACTCCACCGCCACACGCACGCCTCGCGGCGGATGCGCAGCAGCAAGAAGGTTTCGGTCATCCCTTGAGGGTGAGTCTAGCCCTGCTCGCCAGAAAGACCCCCCCCTTCGCTACAACCCATGTCTAAGCAAAAGCTTGTCGAGGAGCGAGGGGAAGAAGGGAGACATACGTACAATGTACATAATCATGAAAAATATGACGCAACTTGTCGCGGCAACCCAGAATCGGTCTTCGGTTGGGACATCGAGCCGAGCGAGGACCCGACCGCACTCCGTACGACTATTACGAGTTAACTCACGTGACCTGCCCAAAAAGAAGGAGTCATCTGGAAGCATCCTCCTGCTCGGCCGGAGGGGCTGTCCGGGCGGTTCTGTCGGTGCGCCCTTTTCCAAACAACCCAGGGGTGCTTCCCTTGTTTCCTACAAACCGTCCCGAACCGCTCTCCTCGTCCTTCGGTTCCTGGGTTCCTCTGCCTCTTGCTGTTCTTCCCGAAGCGAACCGACGATCCAAGCACCTCTCACGGCAACGAGCCAGTCGTTCGAGGGAGAGGTCGCCCCAGCACGGGAACACGAAATCCAGCAATACCCGTCCCCCGCCTCCTTTGTGTCAAGTGTGGCAGGAGAGTGGGAGTGGCGTGGCTCCATACGCCGAGAACGAGGCTGCAAAGAATTTTCCACGCATGTGAAGGAATGTTTCGCTGCGCATACAAGACCGTTGACGAACGAACATCCTACCACAACTTGACCCACCTGCACCTACTGCTATATAGCTCGAGGTTGCACGCCACATTTTGTACAGCTGGCCTCGCCAAAATCCATTGTCAGGATGCAGAGAAAAGGGCGGGGCTAGCAGCAAGGAAGAAAGAAATTGGACCTGAATCCGAAACTGGCGTCCCTTCAAAAGTGTACCTTTCTTGCCACAACAAATTGCCATGCGGTGTACACACAACGTATGTAGTAGAGCCAGGTGGAGACGATAGACGATATGAGGAGTTCGGGCGTGTCAAATGTCGTGTTGACGATGCAAAGGCCATAGCGTTTCTCACGGCGTACCGTGTGTTTGTCGCGATGTAAGTCCGTGTGAGCTCGTTTGTTCATGTGTGTCTTCAGGTGGGCGTCCTCACGACAAAACTCCGTCCCTCACCAACCTTCACCAGTCATCGGCAGATGCGTGATGCGTTGTTGAATGCATACGATGCAACGGCGACGTATTTCTCGGTTCATGTGTACCCGGTGTCGTAGGAAATCGAGGAGCCCACTTTACCTTTCTTTGTGTGTGGGGGGGGGGCAACGGTTATTCAACTTCAACTGCAGACACTGATGGTTGTTGTGTTGTTGTTGTCTTCACATTAAAAACCATCCCGGTCTCTCTATCCAGTACCTCCTTCTGTCTCAATCTCTCCGTACTAATCCATCACTTGACTCGGCCAATTTCCGTGGTCACAGGCTAACGTACCTAGAAAAGGTATACCAAAATAAAATGGACCCCAAGGGTCAGCAGAGCGATAAAAT